TCAGGTACATAGGTGCACGCAGACACTAAAAGCTAGATGTTAGATAAAAGATCGTGTATCACAACTAGATAAAAAACTAATGCATGGAAATAATAAAATACTACGGCTAGGATGCTAATCACATTGGTAAAATTCCATTAATGATCTTCACCTCTTTAGAATTAGTGATGATGTATTTTGTTGGCTTCATTTTCTCTTCCTTTCCACACAATAATAAGGTACATCTATAAAATATCTTTGATGACAGTGCAACAGTTGTAAATTTCTCCATGTCCATAATATATTTATTCTTAAAAATAATAGTTTCAAATTTAAGATCAGAGGATATTAACGAATTACCAGCTGCTACATTTGAATTATTGCTAGACAAGTCTCCATGAACATCTTGAGGAGCTATGGACTCATCACCTACTCCATGGTGGCTGCTTATTTAGCGTGCCATGTAAGATCTATTCGCTAAACGAAGAGGTATGGACCTACGGTGAACCAGTTAAAAAGTTTAGGGACCAAAAATACAATTTAAAAGTTGATGGACATGGATAACACATCACCAAAAGTTAATGGACCCAAAAATATAGTTTAAAAGTTGATGGACCTGGATGACACACCACCAAAAGTTAATGGACAAAAAATACAGTTTAAAAGTTAATGGACCTAGATGACACACCACCAAAAGTTAATGGACCTACGGTACATTTAACTCTTAAAAGTATTACACATAATGGCCTTGTTCGCTTCTCTTATAATCAGTACTTTTCAGCTTGTTTTTTTAGCCGGATCAGTGTTTTTCTCTCACAACAAATCAGTCGGAATAGTGTTTCGGCTTTCAGCGAAGCGAACGGGGCCAATAGAGGTGATGTGGAGATTTTTGTAATTAATAAGTGATGGCTTAGCTAGCTTGCATGAAATGATTACCGTGGGACACATAGTAGGGAATGATGTGGACATCTTACATGAAGAGATAGAACATCTAGTGGGTCACTTAGTGGGGAATGATGTAGACACCTTGCATGAAGAGATAAATCATTTAGTGGAATTTAGCTTTATAACAGTATATAGATATAGATGTGCTGATAGATTAACTATGTGTAAATACAACCAGTGACAGGCTATATTATTAGCCTCTCTAAGGATTTGTAAGTGTTTAATGCTCATACAGTCCGTTGTGCTTTGCATCTTTGTGACCATTTTATCAAACAACATAGTTATGGTAATAACTCGATAAAATACAGGGGCAATCACACCTCACATGCCACATAACCGATATGCTCATCCATGCCATTTAATTAAACAACATAATATGAGATGAGCCATCATCCCGTATCAAAACAAAAGATTGATTGTTAACTGAATGCTCTAACACAGCGAGAATTCTCTGTTCTATTAGACACTGTGTGGTTATAATCCATCTAAATCAATCAACGAGCTGAAGAAACATATTGACTTAGATAAAATTCACTAGATTAGAAATGTATTGACTTAGGGCATGTTTGTAACGTAAGAATTTTCTAGGAATCGCGTAGGAATTTCATAGGAAGAACATAGAAATGGGCCGTTCTCACACTTGCCATGGGCATCCCTCCTCTCATTTGCTCGCACCGAAGGTGGAGCGAAGCATGGGATCAAGGAGGAGAGAGACGGGAGATTGAAGTAGCGGTTTCACACTCGCATCGGGTTGGAAGGAGCCTTTTTGTTCTCGTATAGTGGGCTTCAACCACGCGATTAGTTTAGCGCCTGCTCCGTAAAAACATGGCGGTTTCTTTATGACGTGGACCTCTCTCCACTTGCTCATACACAATTAGGGGATGTTTGGTTCAGCTAGGAGCTCCTAAATCTAGTCTCATTTAGTCACTTTTTACCCAAATACTATGACTAAATAGGATTAAAAGAGATTTAGTCCTCTCTAGCAACTCTGGAGTGACTGAATGAGACTAAATCATTCACCCCTGCTATACTTGCTCTTAAGGATGTGCAGGGAGAGGGAGGCAGGAGCTCTGGCCTCTCTTGGGCTGAGCACTCCATGAGAGTGCCCGAGCGTGCGAGCCCTTGGAGTCAACCAATGATGGGGCATACACGTGTTGCCTACCCACATGCTGATGTCTGATAGATGATTGGCCTAAATAAAAAAAAGAAAGAAACGACAATTGGCGAGCCAACAAAGCCAATTCCACGGTTCCTAGGTAGCAAGCCAACAAACGTTTTGAAGGATTGGAATATGCGGCCACATGAGGTAATTGAGAGCTTAAAATTGTTCTCGTCGAGTAGATAAGTGTTATGTTGGTTCTATCTCAAAGGTATAGCTGAGTCTCTCTTTTATCTCTCACCAACCTCACGTACTCATAACGTAACTACCGACCTTAAAGGCAAAACACATTCCAACAGACTCCAAAAGTTGTGAAATTTGAGCTAAAACTTCATAACAATAACATTAACCAACTTCTAGAAGATCTGCCTAAAATGAACAGGTCGCAAAAACCGTGTCACCCAAATTTGTAAACCGATGACCCTTTTTTCTTCAGAAAATAGTGAACTTGCTCCAAAAATAAAAAAAATTATTTCATATCACCTCCAAAATTATGAAATTTGGTCTAGATCTTGACTAATCCATGGTGAAGGTAGTCCCATACGATCTTTCCAAAAAGATATGGGTCACCCAAATTCGAAAACGGGAGTTTTTTTTCCTTTGAGGGTGAGGGTCATCGCATGGGCTATGAACTTCGGCGGTACGAACTGAAGTGCACCTGGTATTGGGCCTGCGTGGGCTGCGCGTGTGGTGGCAAGCCGGCGTAATTGGGCGGAATTCCAATTTGGGCAGCACGAGTGGGTGGTGGGCCAGTGGCCGACGACCGAGAGAAAATAGGAATTATGCCACTGTGGAAAGTGGGCTTCGCTATTTTATCATCTTGCAACGGGGCTTCGCTGATTTGCTATTATCAAACATGTGCCCGCTAAAATGCCATTTGGTAACTTCGGAACAAGGAAAAAATAAAAAACGAAATTTTATTTTTTGTGAGTTCTAAAGTCACCGAATAGCGTTTGAGCTCACCCCTCCGAACGAGCAGGGCAGACCGCCGCGGCGTCGCCCATCCTCGTGCGACACTGACTCCTTGAAACGCATCACCAGCCGCAAGCGCTTCCCACCAGGACGCCTCGCCAGGGTTCGGACTCCGCGTTCCCGTTGACTGCGAACTCGCCCCACGCGCATCGCCGCCTCGTCGCGAGCTCCCGCGCGTGTCGCCTGCTCGCTGCGGGTCCGTTCCACATCCTTTTGGATCTCGGGTACACATACTGCATTGAACTTTTTTTTATTGTCCCATTCCGCAAGTGACAAATTATATTTACTAATGTGTACCATCACAATTATCAAAATTATATTTAACGACAATCAATGAGGAACATTTTCACTTCGTTGCAACCAGTCAAGAGGCTCCCCTCTAGTTCAGGATTATGATAAGCCAATTCACCATAGTTGGCTTGGCCATGCTGAATTCTGTTTTTCTTGCTGCCAACACAGTAGCTAATCACCTAATCTAGACAGATAGCTTTTGGGACTAACTAGATTCATTGTCTAACACAAAAATTGGGCTAATCTATCCTGTCTGGTTAGCTAGCCTGGTTACTTTAACCCTGAATACAAACCTAGTGCTAGTGTTCCCAGTTTGTATCTCCCCTTGTAGCTCAGTACCTGGGCTCTAGTGCTCAAGGCCAACTGTCCAAGCTTCTCTCCTTTGCTATCCCAACAAGATCATCTCTGAAGCCCATCAGAGGTCATTATCTTAACTTCCCAACAATGTAGGTCAAATCCTAAGTTCTACCTCAGTAGACTGAAAGAAGAAAAACCACCACTGCCACAGCTCCACATTCTTTCTTGTCACCGTGGTTGGCCTGCCAAGCAGTGACAGACCCCAGCACAAAATTTAAGGTATCAGATATATGACCATGTTTCCTTATCATGCATATATTCTGATTGAATGGAACCAATTTTGTATCTCAAAGCATGCCACATATATATGATGCATTGAGAGTAAGTAAAAAGGGTCCTTTACAAGAATCAGCTAAGTATTCCTCTTTAAACACGTAGTGTTTATTCTTCAGCCTTAGTGATTCACAAGCAACAAGCATCTTTTCTGTACTGGACTACTGGTGCACACATCTCGGCCACGACTCTCTCCAGTGCGACCGTGTGCCTGTCTGTCAGCATTGGCTCATTGGCTGCTTCGCTTGAATGGACCTAAGCGGCTAACCCCGAGCTCCTGCGTTTTTTTTGAAACGCTGAGCTCTTGCGTTAACTGGTGTGCTAGCGTGAATGCACGATGGTAGGAGACTGCAACATGCCAGTCTCCAGCGATCCATCAATTTAGCAATCCAGTTAGCTCTTGATTGGGCCTAACTCTGTTTCTTAGCCACAATAGGATGGCCCATATGGAGATAACATGCCCATCAACCTATACCCCTTCACTTTTTTTCCCCAACCAGCAGCGCCGATGCCAGACATTTTGTTTCTATAAGTTCCAGTACTGCCAGAGGCTGGACTTCTGGAGATCTCGGGACTTCCAAGGAGTGGCGATTGGGTCTAATCGCCGGCGTTAGATAGGGCGGCCGCCCTACCTTGCCCTATTGGTAGGTCCGCCACTGCTGCCAAGGAAGCCCCTAAACACTACCTTATTTTGAGCCTGCCCCCTGCTTCGTTCTCAGTCCTCACTAGTTGCAGTCTCATACTCTCATTGGACTTTGAGACAACATGTCCTGTCCTGGATCCTCACCAGATTACAGCCTTTGCTTAGCCAGTCAACTTATCCTTTGCTTAGCCAGTCAACTTTGTTTAATTTTTTGGTGCAACTTAATATTGGTCTTAGGTTGTCATGTTTCAGCCCACTAACTATCAGTCTTCCACATTTAATTGTGTTCAGGTGAATGCTCTATTATTGGAGCCGTGCTACAAGGCATTATGTTGTTCAATTTAAGGGTTACTAGTTACTTGTTTCCTTCTGTGTGCAATCATGAGGATGCTAGCAATAAGAGATTTATCCAGGACTGTTGCTGCAAAAGCCGATATGGTTATGGCGCTGAAGCTGTGCAGGAGGCTATCAGGATTTATTGCTGGTGCAAATTCTAGATGTAATAGGCTAAGTGATGTTGATAAGTTTGCTTTACTGTTCCAAAATTGCACAGGTGTGAGGTCTCTGAAGAAGCTCCATGCTCGTGTTCTGACACTTGGACTTGGCAGGGATGTTATTCTTGGCTCTGAAATTCTGATTTGTTATGCTAGTTTAGGTGTTCTGTGCAAGACAAGACTTTGTTTCCAAGGCTTCTTAAATGATAATCTTGCCCAGTGGAATTCAGTCATGGTTGACATTTTTAGAGCTGGTTATCCTGAGGAAGCTATTCTTTTGTACAGAGGGTTGAAGCTGCGTCAGATTGGCTTGGATGAGAAAACTGTTACTTTTGGCTTGAAGAGCTGCACTGAGCTCCGAAATTTGTTATTGGGCAAAGGAATGCATGCAGACTCACTGAAGCTTGGCCTCAGTAGGGATAAATTCGTTGGTTCTTCTCTTGTTGGGTTATACTCTAAGCTTGCCAGAATGGATGATTCACAGAAGGCATTTGAAGAGATTCTCGACAAGAACATCGTTTCTTACACCTCGATGATCGCTGGTTATTCTGAAAATATGGATTCTACTTCATGGAATGTATTTGAAATTGCCAGTGACATGTCGCGGAGCAACTTGGAAGTAAACTGTGTGACTCTGGTTAGCTTACTGCAAGTTGCTGGTAATCTGGGAGCAATCAGAGAAGGGAAATCGGTACATTGCTATTCAATAAGGAGAGGTATTGGTGTCTCAGATGAAATTCTAGGGACCAGCCTTGTTCACTTGTACATGCAATGTGGAGCTTACCAATTAGCATCTGCTGCCTTGAAGAATTCAGTGCAATCTGTGGCTTCCTGGAATGCAATGCTTGCTGGTCTTGTTCGAACCGGACAGAGTGGCAATGCAATCCACCATTTTTCTGTCATGCTACATGAGCATAAGGTAGTTCCAGATTCTGTAACCTATGCAAATTTAATATCTGCTTGTGCTGAGCTATGCAATTCTGGCTATGCTGCTAGTGTTCATGCCTACCTAATTAGAAGATGTATTCCTCTAGATGTAGTTTTCGCCACAGCTCTTATCGAGGTATACTTGAAATGCACTAGAATTATGAGATCCAAGCATCTCTTTGATCAATTGGTGGTTAAAGATGTAGTCTCCTATAACACCATGATCTATGGTTATCTCCAAAATGGCATGGCCAATAAAGCTATTGCGTTGCTCAAAGAAATGGTGGCAGAATGTGTTGCACCAAATTTTGTGACCATTCTTAGTCTGCTTGTAGCTATCGCTGATCACAAATATTTTGTTAGAGGGAGGTGGATTCATGGGCTTTCAATTAGACATGGTTTTTGTGCCAATGTCGACATTGCAAATCAAATTATACGCATGTATTCTGGTTGTGGAAAGATTACATCAGCAAGGATTGTATTTGCTTCATTGGAAAAGAAAAATTTAATTTCATGGACCGCCATGATGATGGGATGCTTATTCTGTGGACATGGAGGTGAAACAGTTGAATTATTTCAATTATTAATGCAGCAACATGGCAATAAGCCTGATTCTGTCACTGTTATGACTGCAATTCAGGCTGTTTCCGAGCTTGGACATTTGAAAGATGTAAAGCAAATTCATTGTTTTGTCTACCGTGCCTTGTTGGAGAAAGATACAAAGACCATAAATTCTTTGATAACTGCATATGCCAAATGTGGAAGGTTGGATTTATCAGTAGGTTTGTTCTTAAGTTTGGAACACAGAGATCTAGATTCATGGAATTCTATGATCAGCGCTTATGGGATGCATGGATTTTATACTAAGGTACTTGAAATGTTTAAGCTGATGGAAGAAGGAAACATTAATCCTGATGGGTTAACATTTTCTTCAGTGCTTTCTGCATGCAGTCATGCTGGTCTAATTAAGGAGGGTTTGCATATTTTTCAGTCAATGACCTCAATATATTCAGTTCTTCCACAGGAAGAGCATTATGGTTGCATTGTTGATTTATTGAGTCGAGCAGGGCATCTTGAAGAAGGATACAAGCTCATAAAGTTATCTACCTTAAATGACAAATCTAGTGTACTTTGTGCTTTACTTTCTGCATGCAGAACTTATGGAAATACAATGCTTGGGCAGGTTATTAGCAGTGAGCTCCTTGAGCTTGGACAACAGAATCCAGGTACTTATGCTTTGATTTCAGAGGTATTTGCTCAGAAAGGACAATGGAATAAATCAGCTAATATAAGGAATAGAGCAAAAGAAAATGGGTCGAGAAAACTTCCTGGTTCTAGCTTGATCGAATCAGTGGAGCAAGCTAACAAGGTGTGTTAGACAGGTGTAAGAACATCACATGTAATTGGTGCCTTTATCTTGCACTTGAACACCATTCAATCTCAATATGAAGCAAAATTTTGTTATGCGCTGAAAGCCTGAACCATTTTAAAGGAAAATGCAAGGTTCACAGTTCCTTTACTGAACACACGTACACATGCTCTATCGGCTTCTTACGAGGAAAAAGGAGATGTATATCATGTTTGAACATGCTTATTATTTCGTTCCTTCAAGCATTGTTGGAACATAGTTTTGGGTCGCGAAGGCTCCTCGCCCAAGGCCACAACCAAACTAACAAGCTGATCGGAGTAACTGCTGTTTAAGTGTGCACGATGGAATAAAGCGTGCAGGCCTTCGCCTGGGCGGCGGAGGTGGCGAAGAACCTAGGCCTTCGTACCGGACAACGGCGGAGGCTCGGCGGGCGCTGGCGAAGGCCGCCATCGAGCGACCGCTGGGACAGGCGGAGGCCCATCTTAGGGCGAAGGACGACGGCGCAGGCATCTGGGCCGGGAACCAGCCCAGCGTTCGGCCCATCAGGCGGCAGCGGTGAAGGAAGTATTTTTCCCAGATTACCCCCAATGGTCTGTAGGGTAGGAATATACTAGGAATGTCCTGTAGTAGGTAGGGGGTGCCTCTGTATCTCGGCGGTTAGCTGTACGTGCGCCCTATATAAGGGAGAAGGCACTACCATTAAGGTAGCGGTTGGAATGCATTTATGAAACTCTAATCGTGTCGGAACCTCAGGGCATTTTTGGCTCCTCCGAGGCTTTGCTCGGGCGGAGGCTGTTCCCGTTCTCTTAGGGTGTGTTTGGATGGAGGGACGAGGTGGGATGGAACGGGACGGTCCTGGGACGACTGATGTTTGGTTGGGAGTCTCCCGGGAGCGAGGACGTCCCACTCGGGAATATTCACATGAGATTCGGGTTCACTCCGTCCCCTCAGATTTCTCGGACGGGGGCCGTCCCAAGTGGGACGAGGCGCTCGCTGGCCGGCGTGGAAGAAGAGAGGAGGGGCAAGGTCCGGCCACGGCCAGCCTCAGGCGCCGCCGCCGCTGCGCGGGTGAGCTCCGGCCGCGCAGGCGAGTTATGGCCCCACCGGTGCTGAAGAAGTGGTCGAGGGTTTCCACAGGAGCGGACACCGGTGTTGAAGAAGAGGGCGGCGGTGGCGATGCGAGGCTCACGAACGGCGCGCGGGAGAGGATGGGAGGAAGAAGGACGGGCGCGCGGGAGAGGATGGGACGAAGAAGGACGGGCACGTGGGAGCTCGAAGATGGAGGAACCCAGCGGGGTGAGCACGTTGCCTTGCGGGCCGCCGCGCGGGCGAGAGCCGCCGCCTCGCGGGCCTCCTCGTGGGTGAGCGTAAGCACGCCGCCTCGCCGCCCACCGAGCGCCGACGCCTCGTGGGCGAGCGCCGCCGCCTCGTGGGCGCAGGGCGAGCTCGGAGGAAGGAGGCACGGGGCGAGCTCGGGGGAAGGAGGCGCGGGGCGAGCTCGCTGGATGGAGGCGCAGGGCAAGCTCGCTGGGGAAGCCAGGCGCCGGCGGAGGAGACGAGGTGTGCCGTGCCCATGTGCGAGACTCGAGTCCAGGCGGTTGGGATCGAAGAGATAAGGAGAGGAAAGAGAAAAGAAGAAAAACATAAAAAAAAAACTGACAATTGGGTCCCACCTGTCAGTAGCTAATCCCACTTTTGTTGTCTCTGGTCCAAATAGAAAACGGGTTCGTCCCTCCCTCCTTAACCAAACAGAAAATGGAGCCGTCCTATCCCACGAATCAGAGTCAGGACCGTCCCACCCCACTTTGACTCTCAACCAAATGCTACCTTAGGTTAGCCCGTAGGGACTCTCACATCCCAACAAGCATCAAGGCAGATTTTTGAGAGGCACAAATAGCAGACAATGGTACGATTGCACATGTTTGGCTTGATATTTCTGCTTTACATTATTTCTCTTATTGGGTCTTATTCTAAAGTAAAAACTAGACGTCAGGATATTGGGCATTTTCTGAAAATCATTTGACCAATAAACACTCGAAATGACCAAATGAAAACATCTCAGTTGCAGTAGCCATTGATTTTTTTTTTCAGATTTAACTTATATTGGTTGTAGAAAATTGCATCTTGCAATTTCTGAATCTTAGCGTGTTGGCCTACCTAAGTACTTCGGACATTCTTCTCGTTGTATGATTCCTTACACCCAAATGTATGACATGCTGATGCCCTTAGCAAAATACAATTTAGTTCATGTTTCATGCCATATTTTTCTGATAATGATTTCTTCATTGTAGTAGTAGTGGGCACACTTTTCTTAAACTGGCACAGAAAAGGGAAGCAGTGCTAACTTGGATGTATCATTCATAAGCAAGGTTACATTAATACATTACTGGGTTAAACAAAACTATGTTCTCTGCAGTGGAGGGTATGAAGAACCAGATATGTCCGTTTTTTGGCTTTCTGAAGAGGTTTGTGACACAGGTACACAGCTTTACCACCCAAAAGGCCAGAACTGCTTTACTCAACTTTACCGTTCTAGTTGGGAACCTGTCAAGTACTCAAGTGTGTGTGTTTTTGCATTCACAGATTGGCCAGAAAATGAAAAAAGGCTGGAGCATACCATCCACTAGTTGGGAAATGGTATTGTCTAGTTTCACGTGAGGGCCAGCATTTTCTGTGTGTGCATATATGAAGAACCAAACATTTATTGATTTACTTGCTAGGTATAAAGGACTAACAAAGAAATAGTAATTGCTAGTCGCCAAGACTAAACATCCGTAGATTTTCTTGCTAGGGTCCAATTAAGAATTATCGTCCCGACTAAGTGTCTCTACATTTGCTTATCTAAGTCAAAATTTTATTTCTAAGGACCTGTTGTCATTAAATTCAATGCATTGTTTGTCACTAATTAAATTCCCATCAATTATTGAAGTAACTCCATGATGCATTAGCTTCTTAAAATCAAATGGATTAATCTCTGACCACACCATTTATAACTATGCATGGCATAGTATAGCAAATACAAATTACAAATTAATTGTACAGGAAGTGTGAAAGAAAGCTCAATAAAAGCGCCATACTTGAAAAGCCAATTTAAAAGCAATACTACAAACCAGAATATGAATCCTTATACCCACAGACCTATACGTTGAGGCTTATGCCATTTTGGTAGAAGTTCTAACTATTCTTATGAATCTGAAGAACTGTTGCCTATTCCATCTATCCCTTTTTTAGCAGAATGTTCCATCTATTCTTATTCAAACTCACACCTTGATCTGCTGTTGTCAAGTGGGGGTGCAGTTAGCAACTTGGTACCATATATATATAAGCCGAAGAAATAATTGGCTTGCGGCGTGTCCAATTGGATGGAAACATCTCTCACAGGCTCAAAACCAATGATAATTTGCACTTTTGCAGTGTGAAATATAGCAGCACGAAGAATGATTGTTGACTAATTCTTTCTCTCTCTGCACATAGGAAACTGAGCTAGCTCAGTTGGTCAAAGGTATGGATGTATGCCCAGACCACCTTTCAAGTCCTCGTTGACCCAAATTTCGGTCCCTATTTTCTTCATAAATAAAACACCACCTAGTTCCTCCTAGGTTGGTCTAGTTTTTTTATATATCCCTGCACATTTATGCGATTTTTTTCCTGCCAACACATTGTCTTGATTGCCGATTCTTCGTAAGTGTTCTGTTGTGGAGTGTCATGTTGGATTACAGATAGTTTTCTTTCAATTCAGCCCCTCCCTCTGATTTTCTTTTCCTTCCATTGTGTATTCAGGTCATGATACCCAGTGCGTTTGCAAGGAGATTATAGATGATGTAAGTAGGTATTATATGGAGCATTGGTTAGAAGTACCAAAGGTAATCAAGTACTACTACGGTAGCAGAGGCAAGAGGTTGTTGTAACTGTAAGTAACCATATTATATATTGTTCTCTTGAATCAAATACTGTAGGATGCACGCCAGGCAAATGCCTTTTCTACACTGAGTGATACAATGGAAGCATACAGAGGCTGGATCTCCGCCACAGTGATCCCTAGCTTCTCTCCCATGTCCACCTTGGGTTGGGTTGCTACCCACCAGCCCAACACGAAGGTGTTTATGAAGACCGAATCACCCATGAATTTGTAGGGAATTAACAGGAACAGGTGTATCTAATAATGTAACGTTAGAGATTCCTTGATGACCAATCGCTAGTGATGGCGCCGAGGATTTTCCTGCAGCTGGAGAAGAACGTGAAGCAGGTCCTCGTCTTCGACGCCGGCATGCAATGGTTTCTCCTTGCGCTCCAGCTAGATGAATGTCAAATTGCTGGATGGCCGTGGCTCGGATCGCTCACGGCGTTGCTCAGCCACCGTGCCATCTTTCCTCCGCCACTCAAGTTCTGAACCCTCCCCTCCTACCACTACCAACGTCGTTACAACGCATGTACTTCACGTGAAGAGACCCCGCCCGTTGTATTCCTCTCGTCCTTTCTCAGGCGGGACGACTACTGATTGGACGTCTGGCCCGAGGATGTGTCTGTGTCTGGGCGCAGTTTGGGGCCATCCGATTCAAGGAATAGGAGTCAGCGCATAACAGAGGAAACGAGCGCACATATCTCTCCCTCATGTAACGGAACAGAAAGAGCACGCCCCGCGTGTACTCGTGGTGGTCCGTCCCCCGCCGCGTCGTCGTCCCACGACGCGCCGCCAGCATCGAGAAGAAGGGGAGGGGGCGACGCTCGCCTGCGCCTCTGGTTTGGATGTCCAACCGATGCTGAGAGAAGGTGGTGACACCGAGGTGAAGCAGTGGAAGGCGAGGAGGGAGTGAGATCCAACATCCGATCTACTTTTGAAACATCCAGATGCAACACTTGCAACATACGTCTCAAGACAGACGAAACACTTGAAATATGCATGTGAAGCACCCGCAAAACACATCAAAACCATTATAAAACATACGCAACATTTAGATAAAACACTATATATATGTGATACATATGCAACATCCAAATAAACGCACTTGCAACGTATGTCTGAAAAAACCGATGAAATATTGGGAACAGATGTGTATAACCATTGCAACATATGTAACATCCCGATCTACTTTTGCAACATCCTTGTGAAACATTTCATCTAAAACACCTGAAACATAAGCTTGCAACGTGCGCTTTTCGCCCTTCTTCCGTACGACGCAGCGCAAGCGTGGGATGGGCTCGCGGAGGCAGCACCGTCGCGCCCCTTTGGAGGAGAGCGGAGGGGGTGGCGGGGACAGGCCGCCGACGAGCTTTGGCCAGGATGCGGGTTGTCGCTGTCACAGGCGGGCGGAGGGGAAGGCGGGTACAGGCCAGCGATGGCGTAGGCCGCCGTGGGGCTTTGGTCAGGCGAGGGCTGGGAGGAAGGGGCCGGCCACTACGTAGGCGGCTGCCTGCGAGCTCTGGCCGGGCGGGGGCAGGAAGAAGGGGTCGGCGAGGAGCTTTGACTGGGTGGGGGATGGGAAGAAGGGTCGGCGGGGAGCTCTGATCAAGCAGGGGACGAGAAGAAGGGGCCGGCGGAGAGCTCTGACCGGACGGGAGACGGGAAGAAGGGGTCGGCGGCAGGCGCAGCGACCGGCGGCGGGCGGAGGCGTCGCGGGGGATGCGTTGGATGGAGGCGCCGCGAGGAGTGGAACGAGCTGGCAGATTTTTTTTTCTTTTTCTTTTCTTTTCTTTTCTGTGGGAGCGCATCCGGACGAGAGTCATGGAACGACATCCTCATCGTATCATTATCGTTTCTCAGGACATCCTGTAACTACTAAGGAACGTCTACGCTCTGGAATCTGGATTGCTGAACTTGAGCTGGTGTGTACGTGTACATATATAGTGCCTTCCCTGCGATGGAATAGTTGGGCGATGATATGTGAAGCCGATTTATCGGCAGTGATCGAGATGCTGTACAAATTTTGGCATGTATATTTTTCATTTTTCTGTCAAACATTAGCTGTCGATGGGGAAGGCGTAGGGATGGCAGAACCTGAATATGACTAAAAGATAAATACCTAAGGGGCAGTATGTTCCTGCAATGTTATTTTTTGCTCGAGTGAAGCTCCATCGCTGATATATTGTTGCTTTTTCATACACTATCTGTTTTATGCTCCTAGTTTAGTTGCCTTTGTGCCACACGCATGAAACAACTAGTCGTGGTATGGACACATGACGACAGGGAACTAATACATTGCTATGAAATTACGAATTATTCGGACCTTCCGTGACCCTCCCCCACTCTCGTAGCACATAATCCTGCAAAACAAATGTCCTACCCACACGACGCACAAAATAAACATGCGTAGTATGTCTTAGCATCCGGATTCTTAAAACCCCTGTAGATCCGAATGTTGCCTTAAAATCCCTATAGATCCAAACACTATCTAAATTGTTTGAATAGACTTGACGTCTCGACGACTTAGGATGGAAGTGTCCTATGGACACTGTCTAAATTATTTGAATAGTTAGACTTGATGTCTTAGGATGGGAGTGCGACAAGACTTGATGTGATGCAATCTGTTGCATCACATTAAGTCTTGTCACACTCTAATTCAAGTCATAAGTCTAGCTATTCAAACAATATATATAATGTTCATAGGGCACTCCCATTCCAAGTCATTAAGACATCAAGTCTAGCCATTCAAACAAATTTTTTTGAGAAAGACACTCAAGAGAGTGTCTCATATCTGATATATATATTAAGAAAAATAATAGCTTATACAAAACATCATGACACAAAATAACCTTTACAAAATAGGAGTACATTGAAGATCAAAACGGTCATCTTTTTTCCTCTGATTGCATATTGCCAGTCGAAGATTGAAGAACGCACTGAAAAGATAGCAAACGAAAGGGACACTTGCAAACACCCTCGCCATACAAGGCTTTGAAGACCGCAAAATCCACTCGCCGCCGATAACGTGATCTAGAACCCACTGAAAGAACATCGGTTGGAGGAACCGTCCAAAACACACAGGCTTACAATCCTTCGCCATCAGGTCAGAGTATTAGAGATGCCAGATCTTGTAATAGAATAGACCAAAAGAAGAGGTCGAAATTGACGTAAAGAAAACCATCTGACTACTTTCCTTGATAAACATATGAACTGCCACCAAGATCTGAAGAGAACCAACATATCTGACAGACCAAACTCTCACTGGTCCTTCACCAACACCAGATCGAACGTCGACGAGGTAGGGAAAGGCCGGAGAGACCTTATTCCAGTGCGTCATCGTCCACACCACCTCGTCGATGATGCCAGAAACCAAACCTAAAAGAGCAAGGATCAACGAAAACTAAAACCTACTGATGGATCCGTAGGGATTTTAAGAATCCGGATAGAAGAAATCTCAAGACTCTATAATCCTATCCAAACACCCTAAGGTCCATTTGGATGTAGATATTAAGGGGGTGGAATTGAATTGGGTTTAATACCAAAGCAACCATGGTATTGAAATAGCCACAATTCGAATATCATTGTTTGGATGACCATTGAATTGTTTTTTGGAATCCTAGCAAGTAGCTCAAGTCCAATACCTGGATGCAAAACCATAGAATTGAAACTCTCACACCCTGCAGTTAGGACAAGACCTGTCGTTAGCGTTCATGGCGGGCGGATCGCGACCTCGGTGGGAGATCGACCGCGGGGGAGACCGACGGCGGCATCCATGGCATGCGCACCAACAGTAGGGGGAGCGAGGCCACCATGGGGGGGGCTCGACCCCGGCGGCTCGTCAACAGCAAGAGGAGCGAGCGAGGCCGCCATGGGGGAGCTCGACCCGGGCATGGAGAGCAAGAGGAAGGGGTCATGAGCAGGAACCTCCGGCTGCGCCATGGGGGAGGCCCCGAGGAACCTCCGTGGTCGAGCGGGCGTACTGCTCCCGGCACCGGTGCCAAATCTAGGGCCCGCATCGCCGGCGGGGCGCATGACGAGCAAGACGGAGGGGTCGCGCGCGAGGCCGCCATGGGTGAGCAAGCTCGTGAGAGAGGGAGCTCGACCCGGCTCTTTTTTCACAGGCGCAGAGGAAGGCCGCGTCGCATGGGGAAGATAGGGGAGCGCCGATTTAGATGAATACGGAGGGGTGGGCTCGGTATTGCAGGCGAGGCTGCGCAGGTGGACCGAATGCCTCGTGGTATTGGAGCCCATTTCCACAGGCCAATACCAAAGCCATCCAAACAATAGAATTAGGGGCTACCGATGCCAATTCTAAATTCTAGGCCTGAATACCAACATAGATTCTATGTCATAAATCAAACTTGGACAAGACTGGCCTGACAATGAGGTACCTTGTTTGAAGCAGCAATGATTGGGACAACAGTAAACATGATACAGATTCAACACAACAGACAATAGTGGAATGAAAGTAAAGGAAAAAAATAAACTAACAGCTCTAATCAGAGCACATTCAGCAAAAGATCCATTCAACAATGTGAATGCCAGGAACAAAATTTTCAATCCAAGACAATGTTCCCATGAACTCTGTTTAATAAGAAAAAAAAAGAAGGAAAAAAAACCCAGTCATCTCTTAATGTCCCCTAAAGTTGGCCATGCAGCCCGCGGCCCGCCGGCCCGGCCTGTGGCCCGGCACGGGCACGGCACGACACGGTGGCCAGCGGGCCCGGGCCGGCACGGCCCGAGGCACCAGGTCGTGCCTAGGCCGCCACCCCGGCCCGTGGCATGGCACGGGCACAGCCCGGTGCAAAGAGGCGGCTTCATTTGGCCCAGCAAGGGAGGCAGCCCACGAAGCCAGCCCACCCCGCCGCATATATAAGCCGCTGCCCGCTGCCTCCCTCTCCATCCCTAACCCTAAGTCCCTAATCCCCATTCCTCCCCCGCCGCACCGTCTGCTCTCGCTCGCTGCCTCGCTCTCGCTCTCGCATTCGCGATCCACCGCCGCTGCCGCTCTCCATCGACCATCATCGTCCGTCCTCTCTAGCACCGGTGACCTCGCCGGCGCTCCTCCACCTCGCACTGAGTTCGCTAACCCTGTCTCCTCCCTCCTTTTCCTCTCCTGTTTCCTCTCGCTCTCGCTCGGAATCGGTGAACCATGTGAGTTCGTGTTTATGTCACTCCCTCCTCCCCCACCTCGCCGTCGATTCTAATCGGTGTCTGTCTCATCCTCTGGCTAGCTCGTTGGCTTCTTCATCTCCGGCACCGGGCTCCGAGAAAGTAGGTTCGTCACTTTCCCTAACCCTAGATCTGCTCTTCTCTGCTCTGTCTCTCTGATCTCTGTCTCTCAAGTGTCATCTCTCACTCTTCTTCTTCTTTGCGTGCAGGTTGGTGCCTGACGCTGCGTCTTCCTCCTCTGGAGTAGATATGGCCAGGCCGCCAAAGCGCCCGTTGAGGGACGGTGCTGGAGCTGCTGGAGGTCGAGGTCGTGGACGGCTGTTCGGCTCGTCCGCGGGCGGTTGCGGTTCCGGCCTCGCAACGCGGGGGGAGGATCAGCATCCCCTCGGCGACGGCGAGGACCAGGCGCCGCACCCGTACGATGAGCTGGAAGTCGAGGATGACGACGACCTACGTGATGATGCAGTTGGTCTGTTCGGCATCGACCTCGGTGATGGCAACCAGCCCATCGATCTCGATGGCGACGACGGTGATGGTGGAGTTGAGGTCTCCACTGACACTCATGGTACCTCAACCACCTCTGGTAAGAAAGTTTCTGCTGTTTGGGATTACTTCCATGAGATTAAGGAGAATAAAATTTGAGTTGCTGCCATCTATAAACATTGTCGAGCGCGATACACTGCTAGATCGTCTGCTGGCACTGGCCATTTGAGATGGCACATGTATTCCTGTATGAGAAAACGTAATTATGCTAGTATGGTCCAGTCTAAGCTTGCTCTGAATCCCGATGGTTTGAAAAATTGGGTGTATGATCCTATGCTTGCTCGCACTGAATTGTGCCGTTTGATTGCTAGGCTAGACCTTCCTTTAGGGATAGGTGAGACACAGGCTTGGGAGGATTACATTAAGCGTGCTCATAATCCTCTGTTCGAGAAGGTTTCTAGGCAGACCACCACTAGAGATATGTGTAAACTTTTTGATGAACAACGTGCTATGCTTATGAAATCTGTGTTGCCTGCTGCATCTTCTGTTTCTTTGACATCTGATATTTGGTCTGGTAATGCTAAGGAGGATTATATTTCTGTTGTTGCTCATTATGTTAGTGCAGATTGGGAGTTACAGAAAAAAGTTATTGGTCTTAGGCTGATTGATGTTTCACATTCTGGTGAAAACATTGCTGATAGGATTTCTAGTGTGGTTGAGGAGTTTGGTTTGATTGACAAAGTTTTTTCTGTGTCTCTAGACAATGCTTCTGCTAATTCTAGGGCTTATGAGATTTTGCAACCTATGTTCTTTGGTTATTTGGGTTCTTATCCTGCACCTACAAGAGATGATCCTAACAAGGTGCGGTATTTGCTTGTGCATCAGCGCTGTGCATACCATATCATTAATCTGATTGTTAAGTCTGGCATGAAGAGGTTGAAACCTTATACTGAAGATTTCAGAACTGCAATAAGTTTTTTAAATTCCTCTAATCAAAGAATTGCATTGTTTAAGAACTACTGCACTGCTCAGGGTCTTAGACCTAGAAAGTTTGGCTTGGATATGGATGTTAGATGGAATTCTACTTATTTGATGCTCAAACACTTGCTGCCATACAAGGAAGTCTTTCATGTGCTCATTACCTCTAATTATGGTTCTACTTTGTTGACTGCACAGCATTGGTATGTTGCTGAACAAATAATGATATTCCTGGAACTCTTCTATAATTCCACTATTGTCCTGTCTGGTGTTTATTATCCCACAGCTCCACTTGTTTTGCACCATATGCTTGACATGGCTGAACATTTGCAAAATGCTGAAAGAGATGCTAATTTTAGAATGATTGCTACTCTTATGAAGCTTAAATTCCTTAAATATTGGGAGAAAATTCCACTGATTTATTCATATGCATTCATTCTTAATCCTAGAGCTAAGATGAAAGGGTTCTTTAATGTGCTTGAATTGCTTGGTAAGGCAACTGGATGTATCTATAGTGTATACTATGGTGATGTGGAAGATGAATTGTATAGATTGTTTACCAAGTATGAACAGAAATTTGGTGCAGTTAGGTCTCAGAGGGTTTAAGTGCCTTTAGCTCATACTGGTAAGAAAAAACAGGCATGGGGAAGGATCTTTGGAGGTCCTGGTGAATCCCCTGTCGGTTCCCCCTCATCTTCATCTACTCCATCTGCTGTCAGTGAGCTCAAAGCTTATTTGGACAGTGACCCTGTCACATGTTATGAGGAATCCTTTGACATACTCCTCTGGTGGCGTGACCATAAGCTAACCTATCCAATCCTATCTATTATGGCTCGAGATATCATGTCTGTCCTTGTATCTACTGTCTCTTCCGAGTCTTGTTTCAGCTGACATACTCCTCTGGCGGCGCTTGTTGCCTGAGCATGTGGAGATGCTCACCTGCATCAAGGACTGGGAGCAAGGTGCAAGAGGGAACAACATACACCTGAGGACCTGGACCTGGAGGAGGCATTCAAGAACCTCTTCCTCGATGAACAAGGCGAAGGCAGCGGCACCGGCGGTACTGCTGGTGGTGGATAGAAGAAGAAGAAGAGAAGAGGAGAGGTAGTCACTCACTCAACTGAAACTTCCATATTGCTTCTTTACATTCAAGTTCATTAACATTGCTTGCTTCTGTACAATTTTGCAGGTACTTTTGGTGTGACAGAGTGAGACAGTGAGTCACTATGAATGTTGCCACTGATGTTGGCAGTTGGCTATTGTAATAGGATAGAACTTTTGCTGCTATGAACTCACTAAGTCACATTGTCACAATGACTTTGCCACTGATGTTGGTTATTGTAATAGGATAGAAGAACTAAGACTTTGACACTTTAGAGCTGGCTGTACTCTTTTTTCCTTTCTAGGGTTTCTCACAAAGGTGAGTTTTACCTAGAAAGGTTTTTAATAAGGCAGCATTGCACAAAACAGCTCATATTCATATAATGATATAATCTTGTCTTTTGTCCCTTATCCTTGTGTTCTGAGTTGTGAGTTTGAGACTTGTGTCTTGTGAGTTTGAATTGTGATTATGAAATGTGAATCCTGTGGTTTAGAATTATGAGAATATGAGTTTTGAATCTGATGTGAATTTGGTGGTTTTGAATCTCTGAGTTGTGAATCTGGTGGTAAAATCATGTTGAAAATGATCAAGTCCTTAAACACTTAGTTATTTTTCGGCCGGGCTATGGGCCCGCACGGCCCGGTGAAAATGGTCGTGCCCAACGGGCGGCACGGCACGGCTAAACAGCCCACGGGCCGTGCCTTGGGCCGGAGGCTAGGCACGAGCACGCCATAGGCACGGCACGGCCGGCACGGTGGCCCGGTGAGGGACGACGCTGCGTCGGGCCGGCACGGCCCGATGGCCATCTACAATGTCCCCAGATTACGACTCCACATTGAAATTAATAGGTTCCGAAAACTCGCATGAATCTCTATATCAGAGTCCCCGTAGGTTCACATGTGCAAAAGAAGAGAAGAGAAGACAGCACTGGATCTTCGTCTCATCGTCTGATCCATACAAACAGCATCACTCTTCGTGGAATCCAGCCTGTACAGAAGTAGACAAGTCAACACGTAGTGTTTATTGTTGAACTTGTAGCTGTCCGGATTTGACCAGGAACAGCAGCTAAGCCCTGGAAATTTCTCCTTTCAAAACCTGCCTCCTGTTCGAACTTCAAAGTAGTACAGTTTTAATTAACAACTGATAGACAAATTAAGCAGCAATATGATGTTCAAGAGACCAAATAATGCATAAATCAGATATTAGCAGAAAGGCAGTGCATCATTGACTCCACCTAACCATGTTAAACATATGAGGAGTAACTGGATATGCAGTGATCCTGAATAGATTAGTGTCCTTGGTCACATAAGGACACAACCATAGAGTAGAACGAAGAGTCCTTGGTCAAATATGTTAAACAGACGTGTCCTTCATGCCTAAGGACACATCCATAGAGGAGAATGGAGAAGTGCAACTTGATCTCATAAGACCTCGAGAAGCAGTCCCCTCATCAGGCCAACCATCTGTTCAGACTCAGCCATGGCAACCTTCTTCATGATCCTGCTATTACTATCACTGCTTCCCCTCCACTCGAGTGCCGTGCCTCGCGACACTCTACTCCTGGGATCCTCGCTCTCTGTCGAGGAGCACCAGACCGACGTTCTGCAATCGCCTGAAGGCACTTTTGTCTGCGGCTTCCACAACATCTATGACAGCGCCTTCACCTTCTCGATATGGTACGCCAACTCGGCGAACAAGACGGTCGTCTGGACTGCAAACCGTGGCCGCCCCGTGCATGCCAGGGGGTCGGTGGTCACCCTGCGGAAGGACGGTGCCATGGTTCTCACGGACTACGACGGCGCAGTGGTGTGGCAAGCAGAAGGAGACCTGGCGGGCGTGCAGTACGCCAAGCTCCTGGACACTGGAAACCTAGTTATGGCGAACTCCAGCGGCATGGTTGTGTGGCAGAGCTTCGATTCACCAACAGACACCCTCCTGCCGACCCAACACATCACTTCAACTACGACGCTGATTTCCACCACTCATCTGCATGTTTCAGGTCCCTACACGTTCCATTTCACGGATTCATCGATACTGTCCCTCATTTATGATGATGCCGGTGTCCATGAAATATATTGGCCAAACCCTGACAACGGAGAGTATCAGAATGACAGGAATCGGTATAACAGTACAAGGCTTGCGTTTATAGATGATACTGGCAGGTTTTTTTCAAGTGATTTCGCCAACCAGCAGCCACTTGTTGCCTCTGATGAAGGTGTTGGGATCAAAAGAAGGCTTACTCTGGACCCCGATGGTAATCTCCGACTCTACAGCTTGAATGATTCAGATGGCAGATGGTCGGTTTCCTGGATTGCAGTGTCTCAGCCTTGCAATATTCATGGCTTGTGTGGTCCGAATGGGATCTGCCACTACTTTCCTACACCTACATGCTCTTGCCCACCAGGTTACGTGATGAGCCAACCTGGTAATTGGAGCCAAGGCTGTAGACCTGTAGTAGACATTGTTTGTACTGCTAAGAAAGCGCAACCTGTCAAGTTCTTGCGACTTCCAGGCACTGACTTTTGGGGATCCGATCAGCAGCATGTTGAGCATGTATCCTTGCAGGCTTGCAAGAACATATGTAGGAAGGACTGCACCTGCAAAGGCTTTCAGTACCAGCAAGGAACAGGGACATGCTATCCAAAGGCTTTCCTTTATAATGGGAAGGCATACACGGCACCTACAATATCGACGCCCATGATGTATCTCAAGCTACCAGCGGGCGTGAATATTTCAGGTATTTCAGTTCCCCAAACCAATGTGCTTATTTCACCAAGAAAGCAACATCCTGACTGTGGCCAGATGAGCGCATCAACGATGGAACTATTTCCGGAGATTCACAAGTCCAGCCAGGGGGAAGCAAAATGGTTTTACTTCTATGGGTTTGCAGGTTCAATTTTTGTTCTTGAAGCCTTCTTCATTGCATCCGCATGGTGCTTTGTTTTGAGATGGGAGTTAGGAGCGTCCGAAATACAAGCAGTTGAGGAAGGCTACAAGGCCTTGACCAGTAATTTCAGAAGATACAGTTATAAAGAGTTGGTTAAAGCAACAAGAAAGTTCAAAGATGAGCTTGGAAAAGGAGGCTCAGGGATTGTCTACAAGGGAGTCTTGGATGACAATCGAGCAGTTGCTGTTAAGATGCTGGAAAACGTAAGGCAATGCGAGGAGGAGTTTCAAGCAGAACTGCGCATAATTGGGAGGATTAATCATATGAATCTAGTAAGGATATGGGGGGTTTGCTCTGAAAGCTCACACAGGATGTTGGTCACTGAGTATATTGAGAATGGATCATTAGCTAATGTCCTATTCAAAGACCACATTCTGCTAGAGTGGAGGCAGAGGTTTAATATTGCGTTAGGCGTGGCAAAGGGTTTGGCTTATCTTCACCATGAATGTCTTGAGTGGGTAATACACTGTGATGTGAAGCCAGAGAACATACTGTTGGATCGGAATCTAGAACCTAAGATTGCTGACTTTGGGTTGGCGAAGCTGCTGAACAGAGGTTCCTCTAACCAGAATGTGTCAAGAGTTCGAGGAACCATAGGTTACATAGCTCCAGAGTGGATCAGCAGCCTCCAGATCACGGCCAAGGTTGACGTGTATAGCTATGGGGTTGTGCTTCTTGAGCTAGTCTTGGGAAGACGAGTTCTCGACATGGCTCTAGCTGCTAATGAGGAGGTGCATAAGGTGCTTAGGAAGTATGTAGCCATGCTAGCTCTTATGTTGGATAAAGAGGAACCCTCTTCAATTGCCGAGGTTGTGGATTGCAGGCTGAGTGGCCAATTCAACTACATGCAGGTAAGAACACTAATCAAATTGGCTGTCTCATGCGTGGATGAAGACAGAAGCAAAAGGCCAACGATGGAATCTATAGTGCAAATGCTCCTTTTAGCTGATGAATCGTGTAGCATGTGCTAGGATGACGTTCTACGTAATGGAATTGCCCAACAGGTGGAAACATTAAGCAGAATGAGAGCTATTGAAGTATAATTTTTAGCCTTCATTGTGTGGCTGTTTATGTGTATGCTTAAGTACTTTTCTCAAATAATATACGCTTATGTACTGCTATTGACTAAAATTTCTCCAGTCATCTTCTTTGTTTTTTCCTACTATTGATTGCTGATGTTCTGCTAGCACATTTCTTATATAGGTATTGTGCCTGCACTGTTTTCGGTATTTTACTTGAATATGTGCAACCTCTTTTATGAAGCACAAAGCACATCTCTAGGTGAATTGACAAAAAAGAAGGAAAACAGTTGCAGGCATTATAAAAGTAGTTTGAAACTATTACAGCTATATTCATTTTCATTTTGACACCCAAAAAGAGAAAATAAAATTCACAATCCAAAGCAAATGAAATAATACAATACAAGTACATAATTCGTTATGAGCGAGTTTGCACTCCTGCAGTAGAGAAAAAAAAGCTACAGAGTATAAAATCTGGAGGATCAAAATGAAGGGAAACGAAATATTGAAAGTTCAGTACCAGAAAAAAAAAACATGTTGCTGGAAACAAGATCACTATCTAATTGAAGTAAAACAACAGTAAAGTCATATTTAAACCTATTTTTCCTTTTAAATATAGGCTGGCATATAATTTTCCAAGATTCAAACATGCACAACATGTTAAGATATGCAAGTGGGAAAAACATTGACACAAAATCATCTGTCAGGTAGAACAAGTTTCCTTATATCATATGTCTATTGTACAATGTAGATGTGAATGAACTTAATATAAAACTAGAGAAAACCCCACAGCTTTGCCACACGCAACATGTCAATAGGCATCCGTAGAGCGGGACAGGTGATTTATGTGATTCGTGCTTTGCAAATATAGTTAGTAGTCCATTACTGTATTTTTTATGCTTTGAATAAGATTTGACACTTATGTATGATCGGTGGGGAAGATAGGGTCAAGTCCGTTGCTCTCAAAAATGACCGTGCAATTTTTCAAAAACAGCAAAGCAGGATTGTATGCTTTAAGTTATCTTATAGCAATATGAGAATCAAAGATTTGGTATTGTAAATGCAAAGATTCAGTTACGAGACAAGCAATATATATAGCCAAATATAAAGCTTATAGACTAGCTTTGATGCAAACGAAATATAGTTTTTAGATTGTGCAAGAGCTTCTACGATCAAGGGTAAGTGGTTGAGCAGGATGCTACCTTGTTTCTCTTCCTTAGATGACATCATAACAGTGAGGAAATACAAACAACAAAAGATGTATCCTAGGTGTCCCATCCTTGCTTAGCTTTTGTGAACCGACTCAGGTAGCTGTTGGAGAGGCCGCAAATATACACAGAAAATGAGGAACTGCTTGCATTGAAATAATTGCATATAGAGTACTCTTTACCTGCAGAATAGACTGCTGCAATGTCTCTGTAACTCATGTCATCCTTAATAGGGGGAAGCTAAATGATACAGTATAGAACCCTGCTGTTCTGAAAACTTCTTGAAGGCCTACTTTCAGCAAACTTGACTGCTCTGCCCCCTCGGGGCCAGCCTGCAATGTGTGAGAGAAATAGATGCATTAGAGGCAACACCTGCATTTGCTCCATTCTGAAGACCAAAAGATTTAACAGCATCACAGACATTTACTAACTGCTACCGGTTCAGTTATCAGGCTTATACATGCTACTCAGAGAGGACTTTATTTATTTTGTTAAAAGCCCATATGATGAATTTTGTCTATGTAATGACCTTTTTTGCTGAATGTAAATCAGTCACAGTAACTATGCATCAAAACAGTGACCGGAGAAGTGCTTTTAGTATATACTGTAAACACTAAAACTACTTACTATATGCATCACAATAATTCGTAATACAAGTCTATTCAAATAAGCTAACCCTTGCTACATAGATCTCAATAATTTGCAATACAACTCGGTGCGCATGATTAGTGCTGCGAATTAGGGGAATTGATATGATAATATACCCAAGTAATTTGGCAAAATCGGGAAGGTTTATACCATACAAAGTTCGCTATGGTGCATAATTGCCTATTACCATCATTTCAATATGGAGAACAAGAGGTGCCAGATTGCTCATGTAGCGTGACAGGTGGCAAGAATGTGCATTTTGGCTCGAAGCACAGAAGACAGAAGTGTGGACTCACTGGAGCGAACCGTCATTAGCAGCCTATCAAATTAAGCAAGAGGTTATCAAAGATGGTGTCTCCAGTCCAAGGAGAAAGCAAAATCGTGAGACAGGATATGCTGAGGGAGCTCTAAACTTATATGAAATAAAAATGAGGACTCATATGTCCATTTCGTCAAACACATGGCATGCATATTCGTAGGGTCTAGGGAGGCCTTCAGGCCAAGCACGGGAGGAGAAAAACCAAATTGAAACCACTTCGCTATGATGATCACTTCACCTGCACGAGTGGGAGGGGATCGACGCCCGGCCTCTTGTTTATCCCAGCCGCAGCACAAGCAGGGAATCTGCCATCTTTTCCAAGATGTTGTATGGGCTTACGGAACATGTAGGGAGGCGGAGGCAGTGGAGATAGATAGGGTCGGAAAAGGCCAACGCGCATAGCGCCTCGCCTCCGGCGTTGTCGCCCGCATGCTTCGACGCCTTTCTCGCAGGCAACAAGGACTCAAGGAGGCAGAGCAGGCGGGGCATGGTGCGGGGATACGCGCGAAGCGGAAAGACCACAGCGCATCTGTTGCCGTAACGGCGATAGCTCACTCGTAACGTTATGAGATCGCTTTCTTCCATTGTGAACAAGCCACGAAGATGAATCCAACCAAAGCAAGAGCTCATAGAGGAGCCCTGACATGATCAATCCAACGCACGTTGCGTGCAGTGAATTAACGTGATTATGACTTATTTTTTTGGGTTTTTTTGTCCACATTTATTTGTTTGCGACGCATGTTCTCATTTTACTTTCTCCTACCACTAAAAAGAAAGAAAGAAAGTAAGACCATCGTTTCGTGCGACAATTGTCGCTCCGTCGGTCCGCCCTCCCCTTGCGATACCTCCGCCTCTGCACCACCTCGGTTCCCCTCGAAATACCACTCACTGTGGGCCCATCTGAATTCCTTCTTAGAAAATGCCACCCAACAAACAGGGTGCTCGCCCCAGCGCCAGTCAGGCCGCCCGTCCGCTCCCTCGCTCCCCATGCGCGTGCGACCCGGCCTCGATCTCTCGCTCTCTGCGATTCACGTGGTGATCCGGATCTCGGTCTCTTTCCCCGCGCCTCGCCCCCTCCCCCGCAGTCCTCGCTTTGTCCTTGCGCTCGCCGCACCCACGCCATCGTCGTCGTCACCATCGTACACGCCCACGCCATCGCCCTCGTCGCTCGAAATTGGGCCGGGGTGCCAGCGACGAACCCTAACCCTATCTCCTCCGCGCAAGGTGCGCACCGCGCTGAGACGCGGTGCCCACTCCAAGCTCCCCGAGACGCCGCGCCCAATCCAAGCTTCCAGGACGTCGCAGGACGCACGCCGGCCGCCGCCACGCCTCCACTCTGCCGGGCCGCTGCCACGCCGCCGGGCCGCCACCACACCGACGGACTCCGACGCATGCCACCACGCCGTCGGGCTGCCGCCACACAGCCATCGCCGCCCATCTCTGAGAAGCCCTCCACCCCGTTTGGTAGCATTTGTGAGTATAATGCATACAGGTTTTGCTTTTTATGGGTTTATTAGTTGTGATTGTGATATAGATTTCTAGGGCGGTTTGCAGGTGACGTACGGGAGCATGATCAAGCTGATGCACGAGAAGATGAAAGCATTGGCTGCGCTCGCATGATCTGACCATCACCAGGTTTTCAACTAGACCTTCCTTTAGATCTCATAAGGTAGTTCAATAGTCTTGAGTTTATTGATTAGCTCATTTTTGTCAGAACACAATACTCTCATCGGTTTCTTTGAATTTAATATAAGATGCAAACAGTCTATTTTCAAGATTGAGACTTAAAGGCTTTGTTGTTGTTGTTGTTGTTATGCAAACAGTCTATTTTCAAGATTAAGCTAATTTTTATATGACATTAGAAAGAATGCAGGATCTCTTTGAAAATATACGATGGCTGATTGGCAGTGCTGGTAGTTCTATGATGAAAGAAACAAACATGGGAAGAAAAAATATTGTTATTGCGAACCTGATAATTTATGTTTTCTGTATCGCAAAATTAACTACTATTTTTTATGAAAGGACAGTAGTTATAGTTTTATTGCAATGGCTAGCTTAGCAGGATTGCAATGGGGTGAAGCAGTTCAGGCACGAGATCATGATCTGGTGTCGCCTGCTCGCGGCACTTGCCGCTGGTGATGCCTACTCGCGGCCCATGATGCACGAAGCTCTGATTAGTGTGTATTCTAAAAGAAGATACCAAATCATCATGAGTAGATATGCCATGTACCTACTTTTAGTCAATTTAAAGATCTCAAATGATTATTGGACTGTACATGCCATCATCTCAAGGGAATGGAAGCTGGCTACTGGCGATCATTGGGTTACGCTCAGTCAGGTCTGCATTCCATTTCATACACCATATATTATTAGTAGTGTAGTTGTTAGAATGTAATAGTAACAGCCTATATTGGGTGTACGGTCTATTGGCCTTGTACATTGTAACCCTAGCCTATTAGGCTATATAATGAAGGTCACCCCCCCTGATTAGGGTGTGCGGTGTTGCTTTACATGGTATCAGCCCTAATTACGGTCCTTTCCTTCCGCTCTCGCGCCTCCTCTGCCCGTGCGTGTGAGGACGTGCGCCACCGCACTAGCCCGGCCACGCGCGCACTCGCGCCGTCGCCAGCCTAGGCCGCGCGCGCACTCACGCCGCCGCCCCTGCCCCGCGTCGTGATCGCCAGGCCGCATGCCTCCTCCAGTCGCGCCGCCACGTCGCACGCGCGATTGCCGCTCTAGGCCGCCGCGCGGATCGCGCCCATGACGTTGTCGTCGAG